TGTGTGTGTGTGTGTGTGTGTGTGTGTTCGTCTGTCCGGGTATTTCAACTCGCCAACCAAGCAAGTGTTGAAGCTGAAATTTTGTCAGTGTGTTTCCCAGCCAAGTGCCACTCCAGGACCGCGGTATCAATTTTCATGTACGCCTGGGCCCCACGTACGAGCACGTGGAAGTTTCGGCGAGAAGATTGTTACCTCGGGAACGAAAAAAACTAGAAAGCCGAAATCGTAGGGGAATGTTCACTACTCGTGTAAGACAAAAAGATTTCAAATTCAGCCGTCCAGGACTGCCGGGGAATTACGTACGGGCACGTGAAAATTATGGCGAGAAAATTCAAAACTCGGGAATGAGAAAAGCTAGAAAGTTGAAACTTTGGAGGAATGTCCCCTACTCATGCACGACCAAAAGTTTTCAAACTCAACTCCTTAGAACCGCTCGAGGATCACGTACGGTCACATTAAAATTTTGGCACAAAAAATTACTAACTTGGAAACGGGAAAAGCTAGAAAGTTGAAACTTTACGGTAATGTTCCCTACTCAAGTATGATCAAAAGATTTCAAATTCAGCTTCTTAAAATCGTCCGGTACTCACGTACGGACACGTGAAAATTTCGATAGGGAAACTGCTAAATCGGGAACGGGAAAAGCTGAAGGTTTTAATTTTAAGGGAATGTTCCCTACTTATGTGCAACTAAAAGATTTCAAATTTAACTCTTCTAGGGCGGCTTTTTTCGCGGACCATCAACTTTCCATTTGTCGGGTCACTGAAGTCGACATCTACAACTGACATACCACACAGCTGCACAATTAACTAGGGCCAGTATGTCACAGGGTTAGCTAATGTGATTCCATGCGATCTTGCTACAGCACGAAAAGTGCAAAAACGCATAATCGCACCGGCCGCCTGGCGCGTTCCAGCCTGGGTTGTTATAACTATTATTACTGTCAATGCTCTTATCAGTGTCACTAATTTCGCGGCTAACATCATTGTTGCTAGTAATATAATCACTATTACCAAATTTTTTGTCTAAGATTACTTATAATAGTGGTTCAGCTCATATTATGCGTCTTCCCTGTTATTGCAGGAAACACCCAGCTTCCGAAGCACATGGGCAGAGAACTTAAATTTTAACATCTTTCAGGCCCAAATAGCATTTTGACGCATTTTTAACAATTTATTATATTTAGCATTTACTGGACCCAAAACAGTCGTTTTTTGTCGTAACACACCGGCTATCTGTGAAAGAATTTCCATGATTTTAACTCAGTTCTGCAAATTTTTGCGCACACGTGGACGATTTCGGCATTTCCTTTCATAGCAAAAAAAGAGCGGCATCTGTCCTTTTTGGATAAACTATGCTAGATCATAATTCTGCTAATTGCTCATGCTGCATTTGTTATGGCGCAACACCAGAACAATATAATAATACCTGCAGGAGGCGGTGGGGAGCGCATTTGTATTTTTCACATGATAGAATTTAGTATACTGTCTGAATTTTTACTCTTTGTTAACAATTTTTACGAAGAAAGAGTTATTCAAAAATGAAAAGTCAGAAAACTTTTGCAAGTGTTTTTTCCTGAAAACTTGTTGAGAGCGCACGTTTCAAACACTATTAAGGTGAACCAGAATTAAGCAAAACTTCTGTTGAAGATGAATAAAAGTGATTAAAAAAAAGCGAAAAGACATTAACTGCTAACTAGGCCTTTTTCGAGTTCCTCAGAGACAGGTCTTCTTCCACCACCGTCCAGTCGTGATCTTTCCGGCGCTGTCTCGAACATTGACCTGAATATAGGTAAAGCGCAGCTCATCACGTGTTTGAAATTTTTGGCTGGCACTATCTCAGGGACCTATGAAGAGAATCTCTGTCCCGAGTTAACTGAATTACATTTTAATATCGGTACTACAAAAATGGATATTAAGACTACAAAAATCATCTGAGCACTCAGTTTGAGAATCCGGTGTTCCTGTTGCCATTGAGATGTATCAGCTAAACTAAATTTTTTCACTTTTTTTTAATTGTAGGTTTCAAAAATTTCAATCAATCAAGAGTGTAGTCTGACAAATGCGAGCTAGCACTGCGGCATTTTTAAATTTTCTAGCCTACAGTATTCCGTAAAAATCCTGACTGATATCAGCCAGGATTGCGTGGAACTGCTACGTAGCTGGCCAAGATTCCAAAAAAATTAATGGTTGAGCAACCGGCAGTAGGTATACCGAATGGATTTCAGCAGGGTACTTTGCGGATTCTCGATTTTATTAAAAAAAAAAAATCGCACAACGGCATGCGCTGCACTTTGCTAGTGTACCTTCGACGATTCTAGTAATTTTAAGTGAGCGGACTGACAGAATATTTGAACCGATCACGAGGCAAAGTTGTGGTTTAACGGATCCGGAAAATAGTGCTGTTAGTTCTCTACTTTTTTCCGAAATACAATGCAAATAAAGCAAAAAAGCTGGCAAATTTCAATTCCGAAATATATAACAGTGGATGCTTTAACGAATAGCTATGGGCTCTGACAACTTGCACAAAGGAAAAAAAACCTTGATGATTCTATTGGAAAATAAAGAATGCTAATGATTACCTAAGCCTCTGCTCATTTTTCCTCCATTCCCGAATTGAACTTTCAGCAACATTGAACTCTCGCCCAGCGGCCCGATTTCCTATCACCTGTAATGTTTCTGGATGACGACTTTCAGTCAGGCTCAGAAGCATCGAGTTTCGAACGGACAGACCAGTAACGAATTTATAATAATTCAAAAGAGGGGAGGAGGGTAAACGCTTTCGAAAGCCAAGAAGTCCTTTTCATTTCATCTCCTGTTCACGAAACATTGCACAACAGCAAACTCTCAATCAACAATCAGGCAATGAATATTCAATAATCAAAAATCATGCCAAATCACCTTCGCATAATCGATAATATCGAGCTTCTCTTCCAGCACATATTGCTTCAGTTTGCGGCCTTTCTGTATCACCAGTGAATCAGCGTCACAATTGATAACGCCATCACTACTGCCATTTCGGTTACTGTTTGAAGTTGGTGTACGCTGAACTTGCAACGAATTCACGGAAGTTAAGCGACAAAAAACCCACTCCGCTGCCGTTCCCACTGAGAGGCAGAGGCACCCAGGAAGTAGTCCGACTGGTAGCAAATGCCAAAAGCAACACCAACTGCAAGACTGTCGTTGATTCTCTTTTTCAAAGGTTGTACGAGTGTTCTGATGGCGGGTCTGACTCTCTGGCATATATCACCAGTTTACCACCGATGCAAGTGAACGAATCGTTGAGGGACTGGTTGTCAGAATGTCATCCTGCTGCACAACAACAGCGCTATTCCACT